GAGGAAAACGAGGTAGTTTTGCAGTCATTTGAAGGCTTCATCATAGTACACAAGAAATACTGCTAGACTAATCGCAGGTATGTGATGGACACGAAGTAGCAATTCAAATTTCAATAATTTCAATTAATTTTCAATGAAGGTTCATTTCATGATTGCATAATTGATAGACAATGATATGGCCTGAACACAACCACGGTTAGAAAGCCCTTGTTTTTTTGTTATTATACAAAATAATGTTGATTTAGTCGCCTTCTAACCGAACGCTGAGCCAATCGACCCCTCGCTATCGATCTCTATTAGCCAGCCCGTCGTCTTCGCAGGTGCCGTGCCCATACAAGAGCATGCTTGATGACACATAGTTATGCAACTGGCAGAAAGAAGCGACAACGCTGAGAAATACAGTTTAGCATTGGGAATTAACCCTACTTAGACAACGTGGAAACTTGTAATATCACTTTTTGCTTGTTCATAACCGCTTACTTTATTTGCCCCCAGCTCCCTATGTTATGGGAACTGGGGTGCATGGACTTTAAGAACCGGCCCAGTTAGCACTGAGGAGCGCATATTGCTCGCCAACGATGTTATTTCACCATTTGCAAGCGCTGTGCGCGACAGCGGATTCGAACCCCTGGACCTCATGTCGAGTGCAAACATGAGAGGCAAGCACTCCCACTGCGCCATTGGGCCGGGTGAACTCGGGGTGCGCTTCGTTGCGCGTGTCCGTCGAAATTAGGTCACGCCGCAGCCGTCGCACGCGGCGAGTCGGCCCGCGATATTTGACAGACATCGCAATTGTCACTGGGGCATACGCTTTGCGTTTGGTCCACGGCAGTCAGTTCAAGAAGAAGATAACACAGACAAATGCAAATCATTTGCTCCAATGACACTTGGTGGTACTGTAATGTCATCTCGAGACGTCAGTGTGATGCGCCGCGCGCGAAGTGGGCGGGATGACCTACTTTCGACGGACACGCGCAACGGACGTTCTCCGGTGAATCGTGAACATCAGTAGGCAGCTGCGTAATTGATCGATTACCGACGTGTCAACTTATGTTATAACATGTTTTACTCACCAGCCTTCCTTATGAGCTCATGTACTGATCAAAATAGTGAACAAGAAGTATTTTTATTACAAGTACAATGGAATGAAATCAGTGAATGTTAAAACCAGACGGAATATTACATGAAAACTTATTTTATTGCAGTGAAAGTATAAATATTTAATATTAATTAGACAAACTACTAAAACTTCTTTCAAAATATGTGTCGTGAACGTCCTGAGGCGAGCCACTTTGGCGAGTACCTCTACCTACCCTCAATAATGTTTCTGCCACCTTGCTCTACTACACGCTCCATCCGTTTCTTAATGCCACTGATGTATCGCGCACAAACTTCAGGGGTCAGCGTCTTCCAATACTGGGCGATGGCCACTTTGAGGTCGTCCAAATTTCGAACTCCTTGTTTCCTGAGAAATCTCATGAAGTCGAAGACTGATAAGAGTCAATATATACGCGTTAATTGCTGTCAAGTACCTGATGCAACTCTTCATATTACCCCACACCAATTCAATTGGATTCAGGTCTGGTGATTCCGCGGGCCATTGCAGCCTATCGATCCCCCAACTCACAAACTGATCCGTTGTCAATCGGCTTTTGTGAGGGGGCGCATTGTCTTGGACCAGACGACAGAAGCCTGAACTTACCTCATCGGAAAAGGAGCAAAGTAAGAGGGCAAAGTTTAGTAGAGAGGAAAACAAACCATTGTATACACTAGACTTGAATGGGAGATAGCATCTTTCTAGAATTCTACAATACAGTTCGCTATCGATTCGGCTGGTACCTGGTAGAATGGCGAACTGTGTGGTTCCTCTGACTGAGATACCACCCCATATGTGGACCTTTGCGGGATGCTTGGCCCTACTTCTCATTCTCGAGTACTGATCTCCTCGTTTTCGCGAGTGTAACTGTTATTCATACTTTGCACAGTGCATTCATTTTCGCAAGTGTAACTGTTATTCATACTCTGCACAGTGCATTCATCGGTGAACACACAGTCTGAAAATGCCGCTCCTGCAGCAAGCATTTCCGAGCAGAAATCCAGTCGAGCCTGCTTATTGCTGTCCCTTATTGTGTGGCAGTATTTTGTTGTCGTCTTTTCGAACCCTAGACGGTGTCGTAGCCTCCTGATATATGATGTAGTTGTCGTCTTTTCGAACCCTAGATCGTCTTTTCGAACCCTAGACGGTGTCGGAACCCTAGACGGTGTCGTAGCCTCCTGATATATGATGTACTCACAACAACACCGCGAGTCCTGAGGCGATTCGCAACATCTTGCGATGTTGCCGAGCTATTGCTCTTATAGCACCTCTCGATTTCCAAGAGGATTTCGTCGTAGTGGACTAAAAGAAGTTATGCACAAATTGCCGGAGACATGAAAGTATTCTCTTACAAACCATGGAGGGTGCGCGATGAGAAGGATTTCTTAGGGGAAGAAACGCCTTCGAATTTCTTCAAAAACCGTCTAACTGTTTGGTAACTGATAGACGGATCAGTCTAAAAACCGATGATACCACAGCAGCATAATTTTCACGATGGTTTATAGAAAAAACAAAACAACTTCTGTAATTCTTTGGTAACCGAAAAAACCGATTCTCTTCGTTGTCTCATAACGACTACAGTCGTGATATTCATGAAAATTTTCTCACTCATCTATAATTGGGAAAACGTCACTATTGTAAAAGCATCTATTAATAGAGAACAGCTGTAAAGACTGGAAGAAGGTGATAACAATGTAAGAATGGAGGCGGCACGGCCCATCACATGCACTGGCACATATCTTTGAGACTTCAGGATACACCCAAGGACTAATCACTGTGGGTACCAGACCCTGAACCTAGGCTGGCGTTCTTTGATCCTTGGATCGCTGCATTGACTAAGGCCTCTAAATACCAATCTGCAAAAGGTTATCATCGCCAGGTGGAGCTCTTTAAATTTTTCTTTTTTCTTCATCTCATAAAAACTGTCGTTTCTCATCACGGCAGTGTTCATGGTATTTTATTCCAACATAAGGTCATTGTATAATATTAACTGAAACTTTTTCTCTCTCTTCCAGTGCATAAATTTTTGCACAGGCTCTTTCCTTTGAAATGCATCTCGCGCTCCTAGCCGTATCCCTCGCTATTGTTTGAATAGCAACTACGAAACAGTAGAATTTATATCACTGTACTATCACTGTACTTGTGCTTTAATGCAATCGTAAATTCGCAAACTGCCATTCTTGTGAATCAACCTTGGGTTCAAAAAGTTCTACCAGTTCTATGTATCTGGAAATTTCACCCAAATCTAATTAAAGGCACTGTTAACAAAAAAGTAAGAGTACCCTTTTTGACGGGAATAGATAGAACTACTCTAGAATAAAGCGATAACAACGAAAAAGCGCAAAGAAACGAGGAACAAAAAGATTTACAAAGGGACAAAAAAAGAGCTGGAAAGAGGGAGTGGACGAATTTCACATTGAAAAAACTGCGGTTAGGGAGTGTTCGAGCGAGAATGCACGAAGGCGGCGCAATGTCTGCAATACAGACAACACATTGAAATTAACGGAGTTTCTAAAATAAAGAAACATTTGCATGCAATAATCTACCCAAAATATGTTAAAATCTTCAATAAACTTACGAGAATAGTTGAAGAAAGCTACCGTGAAAAATTCATAACAAAAAACAATAGAAATAACAAACATAAAATAGAAATAACAGCCGAAAACTAGCTCCTGTACGAGGCGGTCGACCAGCTGACCATTCCTGGCAATTTGCCAATCAGCGTATTGATTTTTCACCAACTTCGCTTTAGTGCGAATGTGGTGAAGGACAACTTGAACACGTAGTCAGCCTAACGAGGGGCGGAGGCCTCTCGTCCCCCACTGTTCCTGGCCTTATTGTGCCCTATCCAGCCGTTTTCCGACCTAATTCCTGCACAAATGTTATCAGAGGGGGCTTAGAATTCTGACCATGTGCATATCTTCGAAACCATTTATTCGTTAACAGTGCCTTCAAATGTATATTTTCCACGTAACTGCCTGGATTTTATGGTCTCTTATTGTTTGCTGTTTCCTATGCTGTCTAAACAGATTTCGAGTCATTACATTTTCCAGTTCAAAGAAAATGTCATGAAGTTCCGATAATTGTTATGGATGGAGAGATGTTATCAGTTAGGCTTGACAATTCCGAGGTGATGCGAAGGGCGAAAAATTTCTATGTGAAACAACCGTCACGATCAACGTAGAGTCATGTTCTTTAATATCCTCTTGAAAAGTTCCCATTTCGGTATTATTCCTTCTTAGAGTTCTGGTCAGATTCTAAAATTTTAGTTTCTCCTCACGGCCTGCCTTTTTCCTTACGAAATAGTTAATCGTTGCGGTAGAAAATAGTCTGTTCAGGGGGAAAGAAATTTCAATCTTCTCCAATCACACCTGGCCTTCGTAATCCTTCTATCATCGGGATGATGACTAATTCACCTGTGAAAAGACAAATTTTTGCAATCGACGAGTAAGAAATGAGGAATCAAATAAACTCCTCGAACTGTCTCGCACAGGCAGGCGTCTTTATGGAAAGCAAAGTATATGTTATTCGAAACATTCACTATCCTTCATTCATCACAATTGCTCAGTTTCACTTTATTCTCTCAACATTATCAATCCATCCCATTACAAACGTGCCTCCAAAAGAACAGGGTCCTACCCTCATTTTGATCATGCCATATAGTGGTGGAGATAGTGTGATGACAACTGGTGCACTATTATAGACGCATGGGCTGAAGATCAAATTTTGGATAGAAAACGTCTAAGCCAAACAAGTCCCCATCCCTTCGCGGTAGGTTAATTGCTACCAGACTGGTATGGGAGGGTAACAAGCCATTGTATAGGAGGCATACGAAACAAACAAATTAAGTTCTCTTCATTTCAATCCGCCCTCATTTCCACCTTTCCGCGGTGCTAAATGGGTTGTCTAGCGCTCTCTCCAGCGAGATAGTAGAGAAAGAAGAGTCACTCAGCCCCACCACTGTCTCGCTGAAGAGAGCGCCAGACGAGAAAGGGTGGTGCGCCGCGCCAATATAGAGGCCCCTATGGTGGCGTGTTATGTATAGCTAGTGTAGTATAGTGTAGTGGTATTCTCGAAAAAAAGTGGAACAGGACAAAACTGTAGTCATGGAATTCTAGAAATTCATGTCAACAAGTGTTTCTGAGAACGATTTCCCAATTCCCTAATTTTTTTTTGATTTCCGATCGAAATTCGTCCCTTTTCGAGCCACTATTAGTCATCGGAGCGAGCATTTTCTCTTACACTACAGTCATTGAATATCGTAAGAACCTTGGATGCTATGGCTGATGTAAATACGAGCCTGGACAAAAAATTGAAATTTAAGTCAATTGCGGCCAATTTTCACTAACCGTATGACTATGACTAACGGCAACACTAGTAGATCGGATAGATTATGATTTGGGCAAGGTTGCCAAAGTAGCCCAGTTGAGAACAGACTGGTGTTAAAGATTTGAAAAAAAAGTGAAAAGGAGTCTTGTGCCGTCGGCACTACCACATCATTGTGGACTGATCTACTATCCTGAAATCATTTTTGAGTGGAATATTGAAATTTTGTCTGCTCTTCACCCCCTTTGAAAGCAATCAACTTAGCAACCAACTGAACTGACAAACTAAAGAGTCTATCAATGACGCTACCGGGGTAAGAGAGGGTAGCGAATGTGGAACTGAGCCAAACTAAACTGCACCTTGGAGAACCCAGCGAATGTAGAACTGAGCTGAACTGCACCTTGGAGGGAGAAACGGTGTTGCCTTAGAATAGGATGAGACTACAACAGCAAGCGAGAGCTTATTTCAACGAATCATTCTGAGAACTCTTTCTACATATACAGTAGCGCTCAAAAGTCTTCGGTGAAATGGTTCTTCAGCCGTACCTTTCAGTAGTAATCTCTTTCCTACTGGATCTAATCACGCGAAATTTCGATATGTGGGTGTATTGTGAATATATACCACTATTTACCTGCCATCTGGTCATGTTCCTGATATCCCAAAGAGCTTGAAATCAAAATCAAGTGGAAATACAAACATTGGTCCTCCTAGGAATTCTTTCCTTTTCGTCATGTCCGAAGTGTACGAGCGCTAATGCCGAACATAAAAGATTAGAAAAACGCACATAAGTTTTGAGTAACTGCAGACGTCAACAACTTTAGTTTTAGAAAATCTGCTACCGCAACAAATACCTTGCTCTATCTGTGGATATTGCAGCTTCGCATTTAAATAGTGTTGAGTAAAGTGAAAGGTGCTCTAGTTAAACATATCCAAACTTTGCGCGATTTGGTCTACTACGAAAAAAGTTATGATCGAAAAAGCGTCGAAGCATTTCACCGAAAACTTTTGAGCGCTACTGTACGTAGAAGCAGAGAAAATAAGAGTCATACTGCACACGTACTTGCAGCCTTTTCCAAATATGCTTTTTTCTATTGCGATAGGGGAATCAATTACGTGAGATACGCCACACATTCTCCTTCCGCTCATGCGTTCAAGGGCTAGGTAGATTTAGTTTCAGAATGTCATTCGCTATTGTGTTCTTCCCCCACACTAAAACTAGCGGCGTTTTCCCGATTCAATCTCTTCCCCTGGTACTGAAACGGGAAATGTCACTAAGGTTCGCTGGCAAGGAAGGAGTAACAAAGGAAAGGTGTGATCAATCAAGAACCGCCGTATTTCGCCTTGATTCAGAATTTATTCGCCTGCGCAAAGCTTACCCGTTCAGATTCTTTTCATTGGAAGTAAGGAAATTTGTGAAATGAAGAGTTCGAGTGTGAGTGTTGATGGAGAACTGATCGAAGACGTCTTTGACGTCTCTTGCGCCCCACCACGAGACTCGTCTCCATGCAATGAGGAACCCCCTCCCTCAGCAAAGGAAAGAGAGTTGATGCTGAGGATCGCAAGGATGGAAGAAGTGATGGTCGAGATGATGAGCTCTATGAAGGCAATCCAGCATGAGATGTTTGTGAAACTTAGAGATTAGTGATGTTTATAATAGATACTACACTTCCTGCTCAATAAGTAATTTTCAAGGAGTCGCATGTCCACTGCGCATTCATCGCGGTTGGACAAGTCAGAGCACATGTTAAGGGAGCTATTAAGAAGGAATCCAGCTAAGCAGGCCTCAGGTTCTTTGAAGGACTGCTTATTTGTACCTGCCTTTTTAATTTATTCGTGACCTCGTTTATCATATAGCTTTCACTCTTCAGGAAATATTAGTTACGATTATGCCTGCGAGAAGGATGTAGCAGAATTGAGGGAATTGAAGGGACACAATAAAAATCTTTTTGTGCTTGACCTGGAGAAGACAGTATTTGAAGATGAGCCTGCAGAATTAGAAAGATTAGTCGACGACCGTAGTCGGTCGAAAGATCGAATCATTTTCATAAAGCAGGTGAAATACAGTTTGTAAACCATAACCAGAATTAGAGATCTATATAAATTGTTAATCACTTTCTTATCAGTGCCTATTCAAATACTACGACGTTCCGTAGGGGCTGCGAGATGATGTTTGGAAGAAGGCTAAGGAAGC